GGTTCTGCCATACATATAAAAAGAGAGTTCTCAAAATATAAACCTAATTCCTATTATTTACTTGAGATTTTAGATATTATACTGGCATACAATGTACTTTGTGAACACATCATTTTGAAAGTCCTTTTGGAATCCCTCTCTGTCCCCCCAAAAAGGAAAATTAAAACGAGAGAGTTATTCTCCATTCCTTTTTCTCATATACAGTGTTCATATTTCCACTTTCCAGAGAGCAGAAGTGGTGTTTTTTAGGAAGTTATTCTTTCGATTTGTGTACATTAAATAAAGATCCTAAACTTGGTTGTTTTTAAAATGGGATTCTCTTATCATCTGAGAAATAGTACATATTTGAAGTGACTCTCAACTTCTGGCTCTTCATTTTAAACTATGACCCCTCTTTGACCTCAGCATTGCCTCACAGCAGGAAAATGGTAAAAAGGAATTCTTTGTAGATGCAATTTTATTTGGAAAGTTTATTTCCTTTTAAAGGATCATTTCACCTCTGAATATCATTTCACAAGGGGTGCAGTTCATCAATAAATTAACAGTGTCTTAGATATTAATCCTTTCTCAAATTGCAGGATGGTTTTCAGTTTCATAGCAAAAACTGTAATCCCTTAAGATATCTCTTAAGCAATTGTTTTTCATGCCTGTCTATCAATGTATCTTCAATGTACAGAGATTTTGATTGGAAAAAGGAGAGAATTCTGTGTACTTATTAATTTGGAAAGTCTTTTTACCCTGTGTCCCAGTTTCTATTTTTACTAACAGCATTCCCTCCACCTGTCCTGATTTGGGAGAGATGATCCCAATTAATCCTCTATGTTCCCACTTTTTCAGATGCTATTAAAGTTTTCCAGGTTTTCCCTCCTCCCACTTTCTCCCTTTGTCTTTGGCCATACCATCTGCTGCAAACAGAAGTAATTTGCACCCAATTCTGCTAGGGAGAAAAAGAGGTGGGGTGCTATCCTTCCTAGTAGATCCATGCCAAAGCAACTTATCTTAGCTTCTCTGTTCTTCCTTATTAATAAATTTTCCTATGTTGACCAGACTCTGATGTTGGCTGGCCACACACATCCTAGTTGTTTTGCTGGAATAAAAAGATTAAAAATGTTAGAACCATTGGTCTTACTAAAATAACAATAATATTAATTTTAATTACAATGAATATGTACTAGAATTCTGGATTTTGCTTTGCTTCTATCATGAAGTGATCAGCTCAATCTTTTTATGCAAATATATAACCCCCCCCCCCCCCCCCCCCCCCGATGTGCGACAGGAAGTTGCTGCTAACTGTGAGAGAAATTAGGTTGAACACTGTGAAAGCCATCCACTGCATGGCTGTCAGCCTCCTCCCAGTAGACTTAAATCAAGGAAAAGCTTCATGAGACCGACCACTCCTCTTAACGTTCCCCCAGCAACAGCAAGAATATCCCTCTGGGCAGCTAAACCAGGAAATCCCAATTGGATGCCCCCCCTCCATAAGGGTCTTCCTCCAGGGGCAAACCAAGAATAGGCAACTTGGAAGTCCCTGAACAGACCCTGAAGTGGAGTTGGCAGATCAAAAGACACCTGGCAAAATGGCACTACCTAAAAGAATCCCCCACCTTGTGTGATTGTGGAGCAGAACAGACAACTCCGCATCTGTATGCTTGTCTACTATGCCCTGCCTCAATTGTTGGAGGCCACAGACAATACTGATGCTGTTGCCTGTTTTTGGTCAAAAGATATTTAGCTGCTTGTGCTCCTTCTATTTTTATCAGTTTTATACTAATTTATGCAATGCTTTTGATATGAAATAAATAAATGCAAATATATTAGTAACACAGTATTTTCACTGGTTAAACCATGCATTGGAACTTTTCTACACACAGAGACATCACACTATGTGTTGTTTCAGTAATTATTCAGTAGGTTGCTTTTGTGGTTTTGTTTGCATTTCTGCCTTATTTGTGAGCTTGTTTTAATATACCCATCCAATTTCTTCCCCAGTGTACCTGCAGGAAAGACATGGTAACCATATCAATGGATATATTTGTAAGAAAATTTCAGCCAGACAGATACCATCTGTGGAAACAAGGGAAGGATGTATATACTATTGATCATACAAAACCTACTCCTGAAACGACACCTGAGGTAAAAGCCTGGTTGCAGAGGAGAAGAAAAACGAAGAGATCATTCAGGTGGTATGAATGTTTTGCATTCCATGTAGCTAAAGTTAAAATATTTTGTAATTTCTATTATTTTCAGTTGCTCTCACCTTGTCATACCCATCCCTCTGACATGTCATTTCAGTTGTTTCATTTATTTTAGTCACAGTTAATTTGTGTCTTCTAAAAATCTAGCAAGGAGCTTGAGGGCAAAGGAGTTATATTTCATAGTGATAATAGTCATTGAAGAAGCATCCATTTAAAAAAAAAGTTTAATGAGAATACGTTACTAAAATCTATGTGGATTTCAGAGCATTGATATAGTATTTGGTGTTTTGTCTTTATGAAGATAAGCATTTCTTGCTGAATCACAGTGTGGTTTTGTACTAAGAAAAGCAGCGCCAGGGAGAGCTCAGTGAAATGCTAGCTTCTAGATATTAGAATGCTACAAAATCTTCACGTATTTATTTCTGACAGTTCAGTAGCCTCTGGCCACAGAGAGGTTCTACTTGCAGAAGGTTCAAAAGCCAGGACAATATCTATGTTCTACTGCAACAGCAGATTTGAATTTATGATACTGAAACTCTTTTCCTAGGTAGTAGTTCCATGTAGTGACCTGATCTTTGTCCAGGTTTTACCATTTTGCCCAACTATTTTCTGAGGAGGTGCCTTGTGTAAGAGAAGAGAATCTCATCACTCTATACCATGCTAATTTGATCCATGGATTTTAAACTTGGAGAGTACAATAGATATGTTCTGAGTGTTTCATTCATTTTTTTCTGGATCAAGCCAAGAGATCTCTTTAACATCTCTTCAGATGTTAAAATGTAGTGGTGGCCCTGGCATTTATCTCGACAGTTTCTTCCTAGGCAAAAATTGCCGTGCTTTTCTGTGCCCCCTTTTACATTACAGCCTTTTAATGTGTTCTTCTGGTGGATCACAGCTTTCTCTTCTTGATACAAAAATGTTTTTTAAAACACACCACACATGATTGAACTAGATATATGATGCCTTTTTGGAAACCTTTTTCCATGAACTAGTGAGCACTGCAACATTTCCTCTGGCAAAGGCATATAAAGCAAATGTCTGAGCTGCTGCTTTTATACTTCCTTTTCTCCCCAAGTAGCATTTTGGTACTAAAACAACACAGCAGCCTTGTTGGGACAGTTTAGTATTTGACGAACAAGCTTCAGCAAGCTTTGGGCTCACACTCACTCTCCATTTCTAGCAGGTGGAAAGAGCAGTATGAAAATTTTGTTTTACATTAATTGCAGTGTAATATGTCTGATCCCTAAACTGTAGTTAATTATGGTTTGTTGAAACAGATTGGCTTTTTGAACTATGTTTCAGATGAAGTGGCAAACTAGTTAATCTAAAATAGAATGAAAGCTTCTCTCTCCTCATAACTATGTGCAAGGATGACCGTTGCTACATTTTCTTCTCATGGCCATAATATTTATTTCTTATCTACTTCTCCCCATGGATTGATGTGGTGCACAGCAACATAATAGAATGCAACATATGCAGTCTGTTAAAACACATAACCCAGCTAAAAATTAGTTTAAAAGAACTATTCTCCCATTGACAAGGATCCTGAATCTGTGTCATATTAGTGAGGCTGGATCTACACTGCCCTATACCCAGGGTCTGATTCCAGATTATCTGCTTTTAACTGGAGTATAGGAGTCTACACTACTAGATAATCAGGGATAAGCAGATAGATGCATTTAATCCAGTTCAAAGCAGATAATCTGGGATCAGATTCTAGGATATAAGGCAGTGTAGATCAAGCCTCAGTGATTTCTTCAGTTCAGATCTGCTTTTTTTTTTCTTCAGAAGCTCTTCTGAACCAAGGCTTCTTAAACTGTGGGTCTCTTTAGCTCAGTGTTGGGGGTCCTGCAAAATTTGACAATGGTAGAAATTTTCTGAACACCAAGTGGCTGTTTTAGACATTTATATGATACACTTCTTCTTCAGTGTTCACAGTGGACTCTGCAGAAGATGCTTTATCTGTACTTCATAATACAGGCAAATCCACCTGTTTTGCAAGTCTTGCAAATGCCAATTTGTTATCAGTATAAAAATTAAATGTTTACTGGTAATAATTTGGCACTTTCCACTTTGGAATCAGAAAGCACCTCTTTACATTTATCAAAAATCCCATCTTCTTCTTCCTCTTCCTGATGCAAGTTCCACAAATGGAATGTGTCATATGTGAACAATCACATTTTACTGTCCAGCACATGTTAAAGCTTGATTATACATAATTGTAAGTTCTCTTGTTCATGTACCACATGTACCACAGCACATAGGGATGGAAAAATATTCAAAAATAGATTTTCAGATGACTGAAAAACATGTTTTTTCCATGATTGAGATACTCTGAGAGAAAAATCCTGCGTTGATGAAAACTTTCACAACTCGGGATTTATTGTCGACAAAATTCACATGTGATTGTTTTGTGGCAGAAGCAGTGTGGGTAAATAATAGTTCAATGCAGTAATTCATATGCTGAAAAATCTCTGCACAGTAAAAAGACCTAATTAAACATTTGTTTAGTGTAAAATCTGGGATAAGCAGATAGATGCACACATGATTGATTTGCATAAAAAAGCATCTTTTGTTGCAGAAAGTAGCAATTTCAGGGCAGGAATTAACATTTCTGCATTGAAATATTATTTTCCATGCAGAAAATACTTTCATGTAGAGAAAATGCAGGATTTGTTTTTGCCCAGCTTTATAATACAAGGTTGAAACAGGTCACCCTGTGTTCATTTTTGGCTGTATTTGTCTGTGGATTTGCAATTTTCATTGAGAATGGCTCTAATCCCCCTTCTCATTTTCCTATAATTTCTTCTAGAGTGTATATGTAATGTATATATAGAATAAGGCAATTGACAAAGCAAGAAAGAGAACAGGACTGATGATTACCCTCTATGGGTATTTTCATAGCCCTTGGGCACATGGTACAAGTCTACAGAATCTACAAAGCAAATGATGGTACATTAACTTTCTTGGTGCAGATTTTTATGAACATTTTGTGGTACATTCCCTGACCTGTGAATCATAATCCATCCAGCCACAGCAACTAAATATGTGCATATATATACTTGCATTTACAACTTGAGAAACTTTGAGTTTTAATATGTATGCTGCATAATTGTGTGATGATGCTTCTGTATTGCTATAGAGCTTGGCATCTTTATTATACAGCTGCCATTTGCACTTGGCAGAGAAATTATTTCCTTGTCAGTACAACCCTTATTTATCTGGATAACCAATTTAAAAGTTAAAATTAAAAATGGAGACATTATAGTAATTATGTTGAAAGTTTTATCAGATGAGTGCATGCACTGAATTTATTCGCTAAGCTAAACCAGTAGATGCATTTCTGAGCTATTTAATTAGTAGACTTGGCACAAGCGCAAACACAGCAGGAGATGCAAGTCCCTCAAATGAAGATAAAATGTTTGTTCAGTTTCACCTCTGCTGTTATATGTCAAGAAAAAAAATGATAACATTGATTTTGGGAATAGCATGCTTTCCAAAGAGGATCCCATAAGTACAGAAATACCAGTTCAAGGAAAATACACAGGTGATAATGACAATATTCTAAGTGACAGGGTATGGCTAGCAGTGCTATGAAAAGAGAGTATTGTGGAAAATGTCAATACTTGTGCCATATTGCAGTTTATGGGTATATCCACACTGTAGAATTAATGCAGTTTGACACCACTTTAATTGCCATGACTCCTGGGATTTTTGCTTGGTGAACCACCACTGCCTTTGGCAGAGAAGGCTAAAGACCTTATAAAACTACAATTCCCATGATTCCATTGCATATATGGATCAGACTGATAACAGTTTTGACATGATTCCTATTAACCTAGGCAAGAGCAAAACCCAAAGGAGACCCATGCATAGAATCTTGTTTATTTCTGTTTATTACACTCATTGGATTAGAAGGGATAGTCATCTACTTTTTTGAAGAAATGAGGTTTCATGATCTTCTATGTTGTCTTTATTACTCTGGCACATTTTTAAGATTAAAGGCATTAATTTACTATTTAAAGAAATCCCACATGGATTCTTTAAATGGCTCCTTAGAAGCAGGTGAAAAGTTGTTCTTCCATTTCTGTTTCCATGTCTTAGACTCAAGTTCCAAAATAGACATCTTCCTTGTCTGTCAGTGATTGACAGACCTGTGTTCAGCCGAGTACTCCAAAAACTAGCAATTCTTCCTGTAGAGAAACGTCAACATAGCATATTATTAAAATAGCTGCAAACCAGTTTTTGTATTGATAGCATAGAATTTCAGCATTGTTCAGAATATTGTTACCTTTTCCGCTTCTTTTCATTGTGCTTCGTCTTCATAGCTAAATATTTCTAACATGTTTGTATCTACAATTGTTGTAGTTTCTTGTACATTTATAGAACTTCCACCCAGAAATAAAGAGTGAAGATGCAAATGATGGGATAAAGTAGGATAATCCTCTAATCATAAATATAGAACTCAACTGAGGCAAGAGATCATTTCTCCAAAACTGTGATGGGAGCCCATCTTGGGCCAGTCCCCAAAATTATTCCCTTTCCAACTCCAAGGCCCACAGAGCCCTAGGTTCAAATCAGGGTACCTCCTTTCACCCAAAAATGCTCAAGTCAGGGCCATTGATAACTGATTCTTTTTCTGCTTTTGACACTAATCCCTAAGTGACCAAATTCAGAATTAAGACTACAATTTTAGCCATTTTTGTCAATGCCAAGTAATTTCCATCTGATCCGAAAGAGAGCCAGTGTGGCTTGCATTGAAATTTAGGGCAAGACCATGGATGGATCAAGAAGGTGGCACTGAAGGGAAGTGGGATTTTAAGCCCACCGTTCTTATTCACCTGGTGCCAGCTGTGCAGCAATGTAAGTTGTTGCCACACATAGCATCTTTCTTTCCAGGTGAGAGTGCAACTCCACCCCACCCTCCCTCTGCAATCTCAAAACCTGACATATATTTAGAAGTGGCAATTCAGTTCAGATTATGGTAACTGCCTCTAAAGTTTTCTTTGTAATCTGTTGAAATGTGTTTATTTATTTATTTATTTGGTAAATAAAGTTAAAGTAAAGTAATTAATCATATTGTCTAAACACTTTGGTATTTTAGCATTATTGTCACAGTTTAATGCAATTGAGAAATTGTTAGAGGGAACCCCAACAGCAATTACTTGGTGAATCATTCTTCAGGATGTGGGAAAGACTAATTTAGGTGCATTACAGCTGTATTACTTGGGGTCATTTCAGTTTAATAACTAGGCTTTTAAGAGCTGTTATAACAGAGTAGTAGAAGGTTAAATCCAATCAATTCTTAATCTGTTGCTTAATAAATTGTAAACACCATCTCCACACAAAAAGATGAAAAATTGTCACTTTTTTATTCCTTTAAGCAGGTGAAAGGGACATTTATATTGGTAGATATTTTATCTTACCCCAGCCAGACGGTCTGTTCTGACAGCAGTATCTCTTATAACAGCTTCCAGCACACCCGATCACGATCAAAAAAGCTTAAAACTCCAGAGGACAAGAAGGTATCAACCATAGTAGTTGGTACAGAAATCACAGCCACTGAAGCAACTACAGATAGCTTCAAGGTCAAAGAAAAGCCATCAGAAAAAGTAAAGCCAGTAAACACAGGAGTGCCTTCTGGGGAAGAACAAGACGCAAGCAGGATGCAGATAGATCAGAATTTATTGGATAACAAAGAGGTCTCGGGTGAGATGCATGATATTTATTTCCCGAAGTATTTGTAGGCAGTTGATACTGTGATCCTATAAATCTGCAAGTGAGAAGTTACACCTTGTGTTCTCCTTCAGTTCCTTGGAGACTGTTACCAGGTTGTTATACAGCCACGGGCATTGTCAGCACTGTAAAATATAATGCGAATTGGGGTAAGATCAGTTGTCTATTAATATTTGTCAATACTAAAAGGAAGCAGTGTTTTTCATTGTGACTAAGGATTTCCTTAGACGGGCTAACAATCATTCTCTGGCATTTCAGCAAGGCACCATTTTTTAACCCAACCTGGAGATCTTTGGTACCATCTGGCAGTCTTCCGTTCATGTAACATCCAGGCCTGACTCTCCTTCCAAAATCAGATTAGTGTATTTTGAATGGTATGGTAGCACTGGAATATTGTTCTAATATAAATGTAATTATAAAGGCACAACTGTTGGCACGCTCTCTCTGGAGCACTTACCTATTTACTTTGGACTTTAGGTATTATCTCATGTTTTCCTAGACACTTGAGTTTGTAATCTTGTTGCCATCAGACACCAATATATTTCTATGCAAAATATTGAAATCTATTAGATAAATGGACCCAAATCTATTTTGGTACTAACATAAATTCTCCTTTTCTCCGTTCATACTGCTACACTCAAAATCTTGTCTAGAACATTTCCTAGACCCTTTTAGGGAAAAAGAAAGCAGAATTTTGCAAATGGCAATGAATGGTCTGTCAGAGAAACTGCATTAATGAATCATTTTGCTAAATCATAATTAAAATTTATCATTCTGTAATATTCTAAAGGGAAAAATACTTGTAAAAATATCCAAATATGTGTTCAGAAATTTTGTCTATAGCAGCAGATTAATTTTGCTTGTGGTATCCAACAACTGCTTCCAAGGGCAGTTCTGTAAAAGTTAACATTATGGTATGATCAATAAACATACCCTTTTTTTGAGGGTGCTTCCCTAGAATCTAAGTAAGAAGAAAGAGAGAAGTTGAGAAATGTTAACAATAGTCCTGCAAGAGTAGATGTACTGAGTCACCTTTGGTTGATTCACAATTCAGTAATTGATTCAGTAGGTCTACCTTAAGTTGGGAGTAATTATTGTGTTTCAGACCAAAGCCCTAAAACAAACAGTACCATGGTAGATGCCTTCTAGTGTGACAAGACACTCTTGTCTTTCCTCTTTCAGTCCTCTGTACTACTTGAAATGTCTGCTACAGAGGGATGAACATTTCCTTGAGCAGATTTTGAAGGCGTTGGGGAGACTTACAAAGCATAGGAGCAACCCACTGTTTCCTCAGTGGAATGGGTGCTGAATCTTGCCAAAAAGTTTGCCCTATAAATGCACAGCTCCAACATGACATATCCATGTGGGATTGCTTGCATAATTGCTTCTGTGGTTCACCCATGAGTTTCAAACAGTTTTCTGGAATAGCAAAATTAGAGAAAAATTACAGAATGTAGTCAATTGAATATTGTTGCTGTCATGATTATTGGATGTCTTTTTGAAATGCATTGAAAATGGGATTGATTCCATATTACAATATATTTTTAAAAGGTTTAATGTATTTTGGACATCATTTTGTATTTCTTTTCTTGGATGTATCTCGAAAGCTGGAACTGTATCTAAAAATATACTTTTTATTCCATGATCAAAAAGTTTCTTACAAATACCCACATTACCTTCATGTTGAAATTTTCTCCTTTTAGGTTATAACTCTTCAAGTTCACCTCACCGTTGTGTAACTGAAAAAGTACAAACTGAAAATGAAGAGAAAGGAGGTTCTGGCTTTGTGCACTTTTGTTCCCAGGAATCGGCCCTGGCTTTGCTTTCATCTGCTAGTTGTAATCAGGAAAATTTAAGAACTTCAACTACTTCAAGACAGACTCTGGAGTATGCTTCTTCAGAAGCTGAAAGTATAGAGAAAGAAGAAACTAGCAGTTTCTCTACAGAAGATGATACCAGTGATGTTGAAAGCAATGAAAATGGCCTGGAACCTGGAGAAGTATCAAAGGTAAGAAATGGAAAATTAAAATAAATTGAACATATGATAAATTCACTGTTTTATCTGAGAATTTCATGAAATGACCCTAGATTTGTAGGTATTGATATAGAAAACAGATATTGTTATTATTATCCACAGATCTGTTATCCTGCTTAATAGTTAAATGTGAAATGTGCTTGGTCCTTCTATTGCATTTGATCCTTTCAACAACCTTCTGAATGAAGTTATTTGACTTTGGATAGGTCAGAAGGGAAGACTTTGTATTCATCAAGGAACTATGGGGGAAAACTGCTATGATTATTCAATTTAATATATTTAATATAATCTTCCTATTTGTATAGGTTAAATATAATTTCATACAATGATTTCAGATGATTGGAATCTCATAATGTCTGTAGCTAGTCATAGGGGCGAATTTAGTTCATAATAAATATACTTTGCATTTTTATGCTTTACATTATTTGTTGCAATTTATTATGGTGTAAGAGATGCCAGTGACATTACAGCTGTTCTGCAAAACAGATCAGCATTATAACCCCTATTTTTGTATCTAAAGCAAAGAAAATAGTGAGCACGTGCTTCAAGTATGATTTTGAATTGGTGACTTTTGTAGTTCATCCTCTTAGTAATTACATCAAACAATGCTGTTATTATTACCACCTTTTATAAAGCATCCATTTTTGAGATGTTGATTTTAAATGTTCACTGAGATTCCAAGATATAATGGCATAGCTGCATTCACAAACGTGGAGGCTGGTTCTGCTTTTGTCACATGCAGAGAGCAGCCCATTTTGGATTGCCAGATGTTCCTAAGAGAGTGGGAAATGTACTTTAGAGCTAAGAATAAAGCAGCACTTGCCCTTTTACTGACATAAATAGCAAACTCATCATTGTTTTACAGAGAGATGAGATTTAACAGTCCCAAAGCCAGTCCTTCTGTTTTCATATAAAGTGCTAATAAACATCTTCTCAGTGGTGAGATTCTGTATTACAGCTTATGTTTAATTCATTTGCTTGGGTACTTTTTAGCTATTCCTAAGTGGGTTTCCAAATATTTTCCAATATGTTTGCCTGCTGTGACTGTCTTGTGGTTGCATACAAGCATTTTATAGGGATGCTACTGAAAAACCTTGGCCTCTTTGACTTTCTGCACAGCTACCTTGCTTTGTTTAATGAAACCACCGTACTCTTTAATCATAAGAGCAGCTGTACTGCATTAGGCTAATGATCCTTCCAAGTCAGTGTCCTGTTTCCTTGAGTGGCCAGAGCTGCCTGCCTCAGGAACTGTATGACAGCTGCAGGGTGCTAATGGAGTATTCCATTCTGCACCAGGCACTGTCAGTATCATGAATTCCAAGCTTTATGAGTATTCTCACAATTGAAATAGAATATTTAAATTACTAGCTAATGTTGATGGATATTTAGCCATTCTCTGTGGTGAACAGAGTTCGTACAGGTTTGCAAAATCCCAGAAACTAGAATTCTGATGAGGACATTTTCTACTACTGTGGAAATCTCAGCATTTACTAAATAAAGCCATATTTAGATTTGATCCTCAAATTTGAGAAAATCAATCTAAAATATTCTGGAAAAATATTTCTGCCAAGTTGTATTCTATTTCTATCAAGCCTTCTTCCCAGTATGGGATTCTGAGATTCACATTAGAGAATATTTACTTTAAGATTATAATACGTTTTGCTTCTTTAAAAATCAACAACTGCAATTTCACTTTCTCTACTCCATTATGAAAGGGCAGTGGCAGCATCTCACATCATTGCATAGGTCTGCAGCATCTCTAGGCTCAGGGTTTAGAAACCATTGTCATAATAAATAATATTTCTCAAATTAACTTCTACATATTGCCAGAGTTATACCATTTTCTATATTTTGCAAGGGGAGGTATTCCATGTAGAGGATAGACTATAAACTCATTCCCAAGGTTTTGAAGATTTACCAAGGACTACCAAAGAATGACTGTTTTCATTTCCTCGAATCCTTTTAGGATGGGGAAAATCCCATTTAGTTGATTACCATTTGGTTCCTTTTGGTAGTTGCAATATTAAACTTGGTTCCATATCAAATCCTAAATGAGCTTGTAAATTGTTTTCTTTACTTCCATGCCGAGAACTGGACATGGTATTTTAGGGCTGTGTGTCTTTTCTTTATGGAATGCTATTGATGGTTCAACGCTTTTCTCTTAAGTATTGGATTACCCAAAAGCACCAGCATTTCTTACTTTTAAGAATATTTACAGTCCTTCTTCATGGTCTCTATGACTCGTACAAATGGGTTATCTGCACCACTGTAGTACATTATCTGGAAAATTTCAGACGGTTACATAAGCTTTTTGGTGGTGTCCTCACTCACCTTCCTACCTAAATCCTCAGTTCCTTTTCTTCCTCCACTGTAACAGCATTGCTGGGAATGATTTAGATTGTCTTCTACTTCATTTTTGACTTGTTGTACTTTTCAGTCTGTCTTGATCTCTTCTAACTGTGGATTAATTCTGACTACAGCTTTGAGTGATGGCTTTTGGGTGTGGCCTGTTCTGGGATGTTACTTTCTTAAGGAATTCTTAAGAATTATTTCAAAAGTATAATAACCACAGGAAGAGGAATGCTTGAAAAAGATGGGCAATCTAAGTGTCTGCTGTTCAGGTGAAAGTCACAAAGTTGGTTTATGTAATCTCTGCAAAGGCTTCATACCTTAGGCCAAGTGAAATTTGGACTTGCACTTCAAGGCACTACTTTATGAACATCCCTTGTTGGTGGCCAAAGGTGCAAGCTGAGAAGAATAGGCCTTTTAATCTATTCTCCTTTATTGTGACTCTCCTTTACAGTACTTTCTGCCTCTATAGCTCCTGGCTTTTTGGACCGCTCTTAAAAGATCTCTCTGGGAGATTTCTTCCTGGCAGAAATTTCAGAATTGAAGACTTTGGCTCAAGGGCCTTCTATATCAGGCCACTTTTTTGATATTACACCTCCATCTTCTTGGCCTCTTTTTCATGAGATGAAATTGATCAGACTCACATTGATCACATGAAGATCTTCCATATTCTTTGGAAGTGACTTCCATGCCTCCTTCTGGGTGTACTTAATTATCATCTTGACTGGAAAAAGTCAATTTCCACCCATGTAGATTTGCTGCACATTTTCCTCAGCCAGGAGACGTGGAGATACAGTGGCTACAAGCAAGGGTGTATCCCCTTTGGTTGAGGTGGCTAAGGTGTCTCATGTGGAAATCCTAGAGTTTTCGCTCAAAGAACATGATATAGACTATGAGATACAGGTTGATAGGCTCAGTGTGTTCAATCCATTCCTGGAGAGCCTCAGCACGCTTACATCAACCATGCATTTGCCACTGATTCTGCAATTGCAACTTTCAGGCAGGGAGGGAAGTTTAAGCAATTCAGGGTAGGCCAGCCATGCCTATGATTTCAACTATGATTTCATTTTTAGACCAAACATCCTTCTCTCTCTCTCTCTCTCTCTCTCTCTCTCTCTCTCAGGTGATATCGGTGTTCCACATCAATCAGGACACTGCTTTGGCTGTGTCAGTGCTCAAATACTTTTTAACTGTTATTCTGTGAAGAGGAAAGGACTGCCTATATCTAAGCAGTGTTTCTCTAAATGGGTGGTTTCCACCATACATCTTGCTTATGAAGTTGCAAAGAAACAGCCACCACCTGTTGTGCATAGCCATTACATAAGTCATGGTGACAGCTTCAGCCTTCCTGTAAGGAATTCCTTTGGAAGATGTGTGTAGAGCAACTACACACTCTTGATCTTTATCACCCATTACAATTGGACACGTGATCTAGGGAGGATGCTGCCTTGTATTTGTGTTTGCCTTGACATCCCTTCCTCTTGATCTATCACAGATAATCTTAAAGAAGAAGGACAGGTTGCATATCTGTAACTGTTGTTCTTTATGTGATCATCTGTGAACTCACACAACCCTATTCATTCTCCTTTAACTGTATCTTGCCTTTGATTCACTCCTGGGGTATCCATGCAACTGAGGATATAGGTAAGAAGGTCATATAGTTGCTCTGAAGGTGGCCAAGATTGCCACTAAAAATCTTATGTAAGATTCTGGAGTGATTCACTGTGTGGGTGCAGATAACCAATCTGTATGAGTACACAGGTGATCACTTAAAGAACTACAGTTACAGTTACGCTTTATCCTTAGCTACTCATTTTAGTACTGTCATCCTAACTACTGAATTTCAACTGTCATCTAAATCTAGCCAAAAAAGCTTTAATAGCAATGATCAGCTGTCACCTTCTGTAGTGAAGGAATTGTAACATAATTATTTGAAAGAAAAAGCCAGCTGCATAATGTAATGCATTCTTTCTCTTTTTCATCATGTTATATAAAGCAGTAATGAGTCTTGTGACTTTCACTATCCCTCTGGAAAATGTTATAATAAAAGCCATACTTCTAGGGCATTTTTGGTATATCTTAAACTCCATGTATGTTGTCTCTTTTTAGGTGACAGAAGGTGAAAAAACAAAAACATCTAAAAGCTGGCGTCATCCATTAAGTAAACCTCCTGCCAGGTCTCCTATGACACTAGTTAAACAGCAGGCAATAAGTGATGAAGGTGAGCATCTTTTTAAAAATCTCCTCAAATAATACATCTTTCAGTCAGCACAGTTACATCTGCATATACTTTAACTGTTCCACAGTGCTGAAGATGCAAGGATATTTGACTGGGTGCCAAAACTTCAACTGCTGCAGAATGAGCTGCATTAAAAGCTTTCAGCATGTTTCCTGAATACGCGATGTGTTTTTTTGGGTACTTTCCCACTCCTCTTTTCTCTTAAATCCTACTAAACGCATTAGAAGGGACTTGTAAGAAGCTCAGAACAGTATGAAGTCACTTAAATACTACAGGGAGGATGAAAGCTCATTTGGCAAGCAGATAGTCTTTGTTGGATTTCTCAGCAATTAGCTTTGGCACAGAACATTACACTTTATTGTATGAAGGCAAGTAGAGCTAAACAGGGCACCCCTAGGTCTTCAGAACAAACAGAGAACCAATTTGCCATTTTGTTCTCCTGTATATATCCAAGAGGATCTTTGATTGATCCAAGGAAAGAGGAGCAGAAGGAAAATAAATGCAAACACCTGCACAAGAGCTTATGCAAGAGTTTGTACAGTGTTGACAACAAGTAGAGCTTCTCACTGTTCTCATGATTCTGTCTCTGGAAATAGAAAAAAAATGTTTGGTCTTCAGTATCTTTTCCAAATGTAGTGAATGCCTTTTGTGCACAGAATCACATCTTTGGATTTTGGACATTGTTTTTATTGTGAGCAATGGCAGTAGGGTTATAAGCATCCTTGCTGTCATCTTCAAATTTTATGTGCGAGGCGAGTAACGAACATGAAATAAAATAGATGCATTATTTTTCCAGCCCAACTTGGCTCTGAAAAGCTTCCTCATTGTGTGCATTAAAAATATAGGCAGGCATATGTATAATCTGAGAATTTTATTTATTTATTTATTTACTGTACTTATATTCCTCCCTTCTCACCCTGAAGGGGACTCAGGGCGGATCAAAGAATACATATACGGCAAACATTCAGGGCCAATTATACAGTGACAAGACAGACAACAAATAGACGTATATTTAGGCCTTTCCTCATCCTTTGGCATCTTTTGGAGGCTGTGCTTGGTTCCGGTCACAGGGAGGTGCTGTTTCTCCATTTCTTTGTCGAAGAGCTTTCTTTGTTTGTAATCTTTCCTCTGATACGCCGTGCCTAAAATACCTCCCCACTTAATGCAGTTCCTATTCATCTAGTCACATTGCTGTTTTTGATCAGTTAGGTGGGCGAGGGAGCTGGGATAAAGGCGAGGAGCTCACCCTGACCCAGCTTCGAACTGTCAACCTTTTGGTTGGCAAGATTTACTGCAGCTGCAGCTGGTGATTTACCAGCTGTGCAAAAGCTGCCCCCCTTGCATGCTTTTAAGTATGCAAAAAGAAGCATGCTGTTTTCATACTGTCAAATTCATAATTTTGCATTAGTTGTTCCAAATCTTGTTGTTTCATTATATAGCTTAATAGTATGATTAGTATCAGTTGGAAGCATTATTACAGCATTTCAGTACTTTTACTGTACTTATAAGTTATGTGTAATCACATTTTGGAAGAAGAGGACAGAACAAATTTACATTGATATTTATAATAATACAAAGACAGCATCTTGCCATTTACTTTTTTGCAGCTTTCCTCCTTTTACTCCCCTTTCTTCTGCTTTTCTTCTTCCCCCATCCTAGAAACTTTCAAGAAGAACCTCAAAACTTGGCTTTTCTGTTGTGCTTTTGGAGAGTGATTTTACATTCCCCTTTGTCATTCCCTCAAAAATGAGTGTCCTCATATTACAATGCCTCTTGCCCACATGAAGGATTTTCTCCACTACTCCATTCATGAGTTTCCCTTACAAATATATATGTTTCATTTCTATCTCATCCTGAGTTTTTAATCACTGTATCTTGCATATGTGGCCCGCTCATTGTGATTGTGTTTGATTTTATTGTATTACTTTGCACTATTTATTGTATTTTATGCTTGTTTCATTTTATTGTGATGGTATTTTATGCTGTTTATGTTATTGTATTGTAATGCACTACTGGGCTTGGCCTCATTTAAGCCGCCCTGAGTCCCCTTTGGGGAGATGGTGGCGGGGTATAAATAAAGATGATGATGATGATGATCACTTATTTTTAAAGTAATTATATTCAGCACAGAAATATATATGAAAACAGAGCATACCTGCTTTGAGTTTTTAAACAAAAACATGTATACATTTTTTTTCTTTTTCCAACCTCTCTAATGCACTACGATAAATAATTAAAAACTTGCATTGTGTGAGATGTGGGCTCATTCTGACTCAATGAAAACTTCAATGTATTCAGAATTAGGTCAGTTTAGGGTTATGGGAAGGATATAATGTAGACTTTTTAATGTATTTCCAAATCCACATAAGGATTGTACTATTCTTCCAGAGGGGAGAACAGTGTTTTCCCATGCAAAAAGCACATTATTGAGAATGAGAGCCAACATTTATATTGTATCATCTTGGCATTTGCATGATGAGTTGTTAAAAACAACAACATCTATTGCCTGGGACAAAAAAGTACGTGACAAAAAGCAGTATATTTTTTAGGACATTTTTTTTCTTTGCCATTTTAAAAAATTTACATGGTGATTGGATAACATTTAGGGAATGTATACCTTATAGGTGTAGTTCTGTGTGGGTTTTGCAAAGAAAGAAGAGTTAGGAATTAAATTCTAAAGACAGGTAACAGTAAGCAATTACTCATTTGAATACTTATCCTACTTAAGTGCATACATGATTAGTGGGTTTATGTCTGTGGACAGGCACAACTGTAAGAGTAGTAGAAAACTTGCTGGTAATTACCTCGTGGTAGAAAAAAGCATAGAGGAGGCCAGCCGAGCCACCTGTGAAAGGGAGTTGCACAGTCTGGGCGCAACCATGTGCCTTTGAAGGTAGTAGGACTGAAATTAAATCCACCTGATCATAAACATTCTCTGCATGGTGCACAGAACATTACAAATATAAAATAGGAAGGCAATAGATAAAGACTGGACAGGGCTCAGAATAAAAGCAAAATACAATCAGCAGCAAAAAATAAAAAAATGACAGCCTGTAAAACCAAATTAATACTAGCAGTAAAATAGACAAGTAGTATGATATAAGGGCAATAAAACAGTTCTTAAAATGTATTTGGGAATTGAAAAGTTCTTCTTTCTGTGCAAAAAGGCCATAATGTTGGTACCAGGAAAGCCTCCATTCTGCAAGAAAGGTACCAGGAGTGAAAGGCATTTTCTTGTAGCTTCTGGTCTCATTTCAGTTAATGGAAGTACTGCAAATGGTGACTGTGGGGAATAAGGTATCTTAATATGGGAGAAGTTTTTTTTTTAGATAAACTGTCTTCAGGTTATTCGGGGCTTTAAAGCCTGAAATCGGAACTTTGAATTGGGTCCAAAAATTGACTGGCAGCCCATATAAATGGCAAAATAATTGCATAGTGTGATCATATCATCTTATACCAATGAGTAGTGATTGGATTTTCCAGACCATTGCAGTTATTTAAGGAGTAATCTCATGCTAGCTGGGACTTTCGATTGATATATGTCAAAAGTTTGGAGAAATTTTTGTTTATTTCATTTCTACCCCGCCTTTCTTTACCCCTGAGGGGACTCAAGGTGGCTTATAAAAAGTAAGAATATAACAGACATTTCTAAAATTATGCATGTTACAGGCGGAGTGACTAGAGATAATTTTCCTTCCCTCTTGGTTCTAGAACGTGGAATCATCAATTGAAGTGTTTCTGATATATTCATGACTGAAAAAGGGATTTTTTTTCACATAGTGCATAGTTAATTTTGGAATTTGCTACAAAGATGTAAGGATGTCACTAGTTTAAAAACCTTGAAAGGAATAATTAGAGATTCAATTGCTAGTCTCAACTAGAGTTGACCTATTGATTCATTGCTAAATCAGAATGTACGCAAAACCTTTTGATTCAGTGAATCTGATGTACCCAGGACTAACAATTGGGTTTAGCTCATAAAATATAAGGACACAATGGCCACATACTGGCCATATGCAACCTCCAAGTTCAGAGACAATATGCCTCTGAAGTCCAGTTACTAAGGAAAAACAAAGGGAGGACTAATTTTTTTTATGTCCTGCCTTTTATCTTCTTATAGATATCTTGTGGATCAGCCTTCAAGGTGAAACTGTCTGAGTTTCTAGGGTATTTGCTGTCTATTTTCATTATTCCACTTGCTTCCACAATAAGACTGGAACATGTGATCTTTTTGGCCTCGTTATTCTATGTTCATAGTGTTCTCTCCGCTGTTTACAAGATCGCTGAACACTGGGACACCTGCTGTGTCAAATTGTCCTGATCAAGAAAGTTCCGTCATTATTTTTCCTGTTCAGTTTTGTGAATAATTGAATAGATCTATATTGTTATGGGGTTTTGAAGGGGGAGCCTGGCCTACAAATTCACTAGCTACAGTACTTCAATTAGCTGTTAAGAATCTCTCTTCAAATTAGAGACAGCTTAGAGCCATGATTTATATCTATGTAATATTTGCATGTCTTGAGGGGACAAGATTGAGTGGGTTTCAGAATGTTCCAGTAATTTACACAAAAAAGGCTATATTAATATTAGAATCCATCTGGTAAAGTAATTAAAAGATTTAAATATGGGAGGGATACGTGAAATTGCTGCATTTTTAATTAGAGATTATACAGTTTTGTGACTAGGGATGGCTATTAACCTTGGTTACAGCTAAATAAAAAGTCTGAAAATTATGATTACCAAGCTCATTTTGAGTTGTCCTTGTCAAAATATTGCCAGGTGAGAGGAACTGAAATAGGAAGTATTTTTGGGATGCATTCCCTCATGATCATGTAGCTATTTCCAGCATATATTAGATACATTTGTCTTCTTCCCACAGTCAGATTTGTTGTACTTATCCATGGATACCATGGATACCTAATTGATTATGTTTAGCTGTCGAAGGGAAAATTAAAAGATTTTAGCGTTGATGTGTTGTCTAT